TTTTTTTTTTTTCCTCCTGTGGGACATAAAGAAGATACAGTATTTTAAAGGATAATTTACTCACCCCCAGGTTGTTCCAAACCTGTATGAATTTCTTTCTTCTGTTGAACACCAAGGAAGTTCACAAGCAATTTGTCATAGAGCCCAACAATGCCCATTAAATGTACCTGTTTTCATCATACAAAGTGATTGTATCTCCTCAGAAGACTAAGATTAAACCACTGGAGTTGTATCATTACTTTGTCCACTACTTTTATGTAGGTCTACCTTTTGGGTGCTAGAAACCTTTGGACCCCATTGATTTTCATTGTTTGGACAAAGCAGCTGAATGTATTTTGTATTTCACAGAAGAAAGAACGTCATTTATATGGCGTAGGAACGCTAAAGTTTCTAGTCAAAACATGCCCATTCTACAACTAAGATGTACCCACAAAGCTAATTGATGACCACACATTGGAGGGCCATTTAAAATTGGCCAAATTTTGCTTCCAGTGACAATAAATGACCAAAAATAACAGTAAACACACCAAAAAAGACATTTTATGTAATACTTCTTTAAATTGTCCATTAAAAACTGAGATTAAATATTGGTTCAATATTTTTTAATCTGTATTTCAGGAATACACCTGCCTTGGAAGCTTTCATTGTAAATATACTGTAATTGGCGTTTTATTGTGTACAGTATCAAATTAGAGCATAGGCTAATGTTAATGGTCAAACGGTCATCTTAATCAGGTTTTCAAAAAAAAAAAAAATTTTACATTAACGTTGTCTGATGGAAAAAAAAAAATCTAGCACAGGGTCTTCATGTGCTTCCATCGTCCTGTAGCAATAGCCCTCTTGTGTGTATCCTTTTACCCAACTTAAACATTTAATCTTGCCAAAAGAACAATTCGTGCTTGGACCTGTGTGGGAATTTCAACCCTAGTTCAAGCTACAAAACATTTGTCTCACCTTGTCCAAGAGGTGACACAGTATGCCTCAATCTCTGTAGCCGCGTATTCATTACTGCACAACATGTGTTATTTAGCTTTCATATCAGTAAATGAATGGCCTGAATGCAGTTTATGTCATCTTGGGCAGCTGTGCAGCTTTTATTTTCCATGCTGCCATAACTAGCAGCGCAGCCGTGTTTGTCACTTGCTCACCGCAGCACAGCACAGTAAGACTTGGCTTCATTCTCAGTATGGCTGTATTACCTTCTATCTATCAAGTTTCATTGTAAACTGCTAGTAATGTAAACTCCAGAGAGTTCTTGTGCTAGCTCCTGTTTACTCATCAGTCTCACTGTTTTGATGTCTTGAAATGGTACTGGCCTCTGCTGTTTTGTGTTACTCTGACTCTGACTGTCCAAATTTATACTCTGGTTAAGAAAGCTGATGTGTTTTTCTTGGATATGCTGATGGGCTGCACATATCAAAATTTGTGTTCAATCAAACTCATACCGGACTGTCACACATTGCGTATTCTGACAGCACCAACATTTAGATTTAATTTCTGTAACCCTTGCTAAATCATGCATGTCAATAAATATTTTTGAAAACTGTGGATGACTTTTGCCATGTTTGTCTTTCATATGATTCAATGAGAAGGTGATAATGTTTTGTGACAGTCTCTTATTTAAAGATGGAGTAAAGGGCATTGCACGCTGCGTCCGAAATTCGCATCCGAAATTTTCGCATGTTAAAAAAAATTGACCTCACGTTATGTCAATCTTGCTTGCACACCGCCTCCGAAACTTTCGTCCGTCATAAAAAATTCGGATTGGGTTCGATTTTCTGCGTTTTTCGCATCCACAGCCAGCATTTTGAGAGGTTTTTTGACAATTCAGGGCCAGGGGGAGCTCGTTTACTGTCTATGGAGCTCGTTCCGCACATCATTGCACATATGCGCAGTGCTTTCAGTTTCGGTTTTCAATTCGATCAAGTATGTTCTCTTCTCTCGATTGGATTATGAAAGGAATAAACCTCCCCTTTCAATCAGATTGAAATTTCGGATCGAATAAGGTGTGATTGAGCAGCCAATTCTATAATGTATTATTTGGGCACAATATATAACAGCCTATACAGCTGTTCTGTCTGCCCAGCGCTTCCACCGGGCCGCGCGCGTGTGTGTGTCCTGTCCATACCTTAGACACACTGCCAGTCTCTGTTCAGGATCGATTGGTTCACGGAAATTGGTGGTCTTGTTTTTAAAATGTGGCTCCAGAATCGCAAGCAAAACATCAAACTGTTCCACTGACATTCTGAGGTAAATTTTGAATCGCTCTGGATAAATTCACAAGCTCTCGGCGCAATTTCAGGATTGGATGGACGTAATATTTTCTCTTCTCTTTTCAATAAGATAGAGGACAACAAAATCATTCTCACTGCTTGACGAATCCATTTTGTATTTTTGCGTTTTTTCCCGGAAAGGTTTAATAAATACGCATCGGACTCAGTGTGCAAGGTTTCTGTGCGTGACGAATTTTTAGGCTGACGAACACGAAAAAACGCATACGAAAATTTCGTACTCAGTGTGCAATGGCCTTAAGTCTATGCTTTCCCTTCTAGTTCTATGTTTGCCATAACAATGTTTCCTGGTTCCTACACAAGGGTGCATTACACAAATCATTTTTATAAAGCAGGTGTCGATTGATTGCAATTTAATTACTTGAGTTGTCCTTGAACACATTTGTCCTGCATTGTCACACAGTATCTATTTTGTCTTAGACAACATGGAGTGACTGCCATCTACATTTCTACTTTGTCAACTATTAGTGTCCAAGAACAGGTGATGCACACCCTGGTCTCACTTTGATCCCGTTGTTCACAGCACTGTCAAGGGTCAGATGTCCACTGCCAGTACATTATGAAAAATAGACATCAGAAGTCTTTTTCACTTGAGACTCGCCCAGCCCTGGTTTAAACAACAATTTTGCAAGTTAAGAGTTATTGGGTCAAATGATGCCTGTGACTTTGAAACAGTGACTCTGAGTGCTCTAATGCTATTCTGGGAAGAGACATTTTAGTCTGGCAAGAGTGGCATGTAAGAAATATAAAAAAGGAACACTGATTTGAAATGCACAGGGGGCTACTACACTATAACTAGGTCAAGTGCATTTGATAGGGTGGAGGGGGGGGGGCTTCGTAATTCAACCTCTTGGTTAAAATTGATCAGTAACTATCTTAACTGTGGATGAGTAAGCTTTACTGTTTTCGGGTTTTTTTTCTGTGGGTTTCCGCTCCAAACTCCCTGAACGTACAAATTCGGTGCTTCGACCAACCCACCGATGAATAAAATCGCATTGGGCTAATTTTGATTGGCATTTAGCCTAGTTTTGTTCCACAGACCTGGCAGCCTTAGGAGAAGGTGAATCGGTCAGAACACTGGCACTAGCTCTAGTTTCAATCGAGACAGGGTTAAAAGTCTTTCACACACTATTCTTTTCCAATAGTAGAGTGATACCATTTACCAGTTTGTTTGTACATAAGAGGATACATGATCTTGTTCAATAAAAATCATTTTTATTTATTTTTTCGATCATCATTTCCCCATATTTTTTTTTATTAATTTTTTTGACCGCCTTATGTGCTCTTGGCTTTCCCGTCTCCTGGCTTCATTCCTGCAGAATATGAGCCCTTGGAATTTCAGGGAAGTTCCATCAACGTGAAATCTTAAATAACATGACGTCTCTGATCGAACCTCTCAAGGTGAAAGAGTCATTGCTCAAGTTTCTTTCCATTCATTTTCTGAGCAGCCCTTTCTGGAAACTGAGTGTCTCCGGGGCCCCTTTGACACCTGGCAGGGAGGCATCTGCCATGGCTTTAGCACTCAAAGCTTCTAAGATATCACACAGCAATTGCTGAGCCAAACATAGCCCCTCCCAGGGAGCTGCTGACGCAAAACCCCATACCAGTTACATTTACTGAGACGGCTCATTCCATTCTTAATATGACCTCCCCTTTGTAGAGGTACATAGAGTGTTCAATGGAGAGGAAGAGATGGATGGATCAACATGTTATTGGGGGATTTAACATTTCTTGTTTTTGTCCAGCTTTGATGCCGTCTAATTTTTCTGCTTGGCTCATTGTTGGATTATTGACGTCTTTTTGAATACCCTGATTGAGCTGGCTTCATCTGCTGCAGGTGAATCTCTGTTAGGTTCTCCAGAAGTTTTGCTGGTTTTAGTTGAGCTGTTGTTAAGTACTACCATGAGTTCTGCTGACTCTAGCACAGGTATTGACCTGCTTCAGGTCAGGATTGAGTCCTTGAGTAGCAAAATGGACAGGCTCATAAGCATCCAGGAAAAAGTGCTTAGCCGACTCGAAGGCATGTCTCAGGACATTGATGGAATTGAGAAAGATGTAGAAACTCTAAAAGTGGAAAAGGAGGAGATCCATGTTTCTCCAGTTATCCGTACAGGACCAGCCAATGAGATGAAGGAAATGTGTCAAGAAATGAACAGCATCATGTTGGCAGTAAATCAACGCTCAGAACAGCAAACCCAAAAGTTGGAGGGAATGGAGAGACTGGTGACGAGCATTCAGCAGGTTGTCAGCTTTATTGGAGAAACAGTGAAAACTTCCAAAATCATGGATATTATGTTCAAAGGGCCAGCTTCTCGAAAAAGCAAAACGGCACTCAGGTCCAAGGATAGTAAAATCAAACTGATCGCCAAATGCCAAGCGTCAGATAACAGTGAGCCTCTCCTTACCAAGGTGAGTTCAATCTCAAGTATGGAAGATTGGACGATGCTCGATTGTCTGAGTATAATCAGTACAAAGAGGTGAAATAGTGGCATTTCATGGATAAAATATCATCAATTTAATCAAATAATTAAATGATTATGATTTAATGTCGTGATTTAAACATTTCCATTTATTACATAGAAGGAATTGTGCCATTTTGAAAGACCACTTGCATGGTCATTACACCATTTTGAAGCACATGATTGATTTGGCCTTAATGATGTGGATTGTTGGAAAGGAGAATATTACCTAGAAAAAGGAAATATATAAAGTCAGCTGGATTTGGATTTGTGTCTTGGGCTACAGTTTCAACTAGATGAAACCCCACCCCACACTGTTGGTATTATATATATATATATATATATATGCGCCATATTAGGGGAACCATGGCATTTATGCCTTTCTTATTGGTATTTCATATGACAGTCAAATGAAACCCGCACTTTTATGCCATGTAAAAGTGAAATGTTGTGCATAATTGTCACATTTGTAATTATTTTGAAAAATATATTTATTGATTGTTTCATAAATTCATTTTATTATTCATTTACTACTGTTTTATTGTATTCATAGTTGTATAGTTGCTTCCTGCATTATTGCGCAAAGAGAAGCCAACAGTTTATTTTCATGTAACATTTGGCTATCTTAGACTAAAGGCCAATTTATACTTCTGCGTAGGGTGCGCGCAGTAGGTACGGCGTAGCATACGCACAGACGCGTCCCATACCGCGTACCCTTCCGCGTTGCCTGACGCGCACCTCTTCAAAAATGTAACTACACGTCGCGACGACGCGGACCGCAAGATCGGTGATTGGTCGGCTTGGTAGCGTCGTATTTCCTCCTACGCATTTCCGCACGTATTCTCACGCATTTCCACACGTACCATCTCCTCCGACGTCTTCTGTCATTTCTGCCTTTCAGTTTTAGTAATTTCACTAAAATGAACTGTTTTTCCACCCCAATAAGCTCCAACTCCAACAAGATCCACTCTCTTTCAGTCGCTATTGCTTGTAGTAACCTAGCCGCGAGGAATCTAACACAGTGGAACATTAAAACCCTCCGCCGCCAACTAGCGTTTCGGAGCAATACTGCAGAGCAACCAATACCTGAACGCAGAAGTATAAATGCTCACGACGGCGTCGCCTACGTGCGAAGCCAACGCCGTACACTACGGCGTAACCTCGACGCAGAAGTATAAATTGGCCTTAACCTTGCTTCCTAACCACCCATCCCACTTATATTGTGTTTATGACAGAAAACTACCTCTACTAAAGGCTCTAAAGGGACACGAAAATCTGCCCCCAACATTCTGAGTCTACTTACAACCTCAAGCATCTTGGATCAAAATATTTGCTTCAAATGTACTAACTTTGTAGGTTTATGAACCATGCATTTTACACAAATTATTAGCGACCCTGAAGAATTGCATAAATTCGGTACACATTACCATTTCGTTGACGAGAAAAACAAATACTTTTGCACTTTAAACTTATTTTCTCATCTTATTTCTTTGCAATATTTTCATCTTGCTCCAAAGCAAAAAGATCACAAAGGTAAAGATGGAAAATTTCATCTGAGCTTCAAAGGCCTCAAAGCACAGAAGAAGAAGAAACCACCTGATTCAACTGGTAAATACAGCACAAAACAAAATGCAAATAAAGTGCGACACATTTAACTCAATTTTCTCTTTTTCTTTATTATGTTCATATTGCAGTTGATACAATCTCTTTGAGGAAACAGACACTGTTGCTTGAAGAGGTTCAGAAACTAAATCAAGAGAATATAGATCGCTCTGAAGCATCCCGACATCAGGAAAATGATGTGCAGAAATCTGAGGATGGCTCAAATACTCCCATTCCGCAAGAACTTATCCTGGAAGAAGCCAAGATGCTTGAACCTGAACAAAAGAATAACTCAGAAGAAGAGAAGGATGTCACTCAGGACCTGAAAGAAGATGAGATAGAAGACGCAGAGCCAAAGATAGAGGAGATCCAAATTGAAACACAACAATTAGCAGAAGAAGAGACTAAGGAGATGCCCGTAAAGGCCACTGACAAACTCAAAGATCAGGAGGAAGAGGGTATGGAGGACCAGACGTCTACTGAGGTTCCTTCAGAACCCGACATTACTGACACAGAGCCACCTACACCAACTGATCCACCTACATCAACTGACCCGCCTACACCAACTGAGAACTCAGCCCAAAGGTGAGCTGTGAATCTGGTGGGGTTTCCATGTCATACACCACATGACCAAAAGTATGTGGAAAATCCTGTCTAAGTAATATGTGTAGCTATTCCAATAGTTTAAATAATTACAAACCTCAATCCTACTGCCTTCATAAGCAGCTTCCCAATCTTTTTTATAACAAAATTGCACATACATGCATTGCTTTAAATTGCATATTAAAACTGGATATAACAGTACTCACCATTAAGGTGAAACTTGAGCTTAAGTCCGGTAGGAACACAATAAGGTCATATAAGTAGCTATGACGTTGGTGATGATAAGCCAACTAATTTAGGTCACTAAGAGTCACTAAGTCAGGCTGAAGCCTCGTATTTTTTACATAAACAACGTATCGTCAAAGTTGGTATTGTGGCTTATATGGTCAGACATTTATATGTGTCATTATAATAACATATTATGAAAATCAAGCTTAAATGTAGTTACAAGGATTTTTACCAGCTAATTTTTACTCTATTCAGACGGGTTTAGTTTAACATAGAGAGGTTGGGTAAAGTAATTATTACCAGAGCTTCTCAATGATTTTAGTCCAATGTCAGTTAATATGTTCGTAAATATTCAGTCGTTTAAAAGTAGTTCCCTTTCGAGGGAACTCTACACTGCGTCGAGAATCGACACTTTGGGGACGCTCCCTAAGCGTGCGCCTCTGAAGTATGAATGAAACTAATCCAATCCTGATTGGTGTTGCGTCGTGACGTAACATGTGACGGCATACCCGGAAGTATAAAAGTGACGTTGTCACAACACACACAGCTTTCGCTCTTCAGCAAGCGCTTTATGTTGAAACTGTCTGTCTTATTTGGTGTTGTTTGTCACTCAGTTTGAACTGGAAATGGCCAGCGAACAATTTAAAAACATGTGTGCATCTCTGCCCTCGTTATGTCACAGGTGGGGACGCACATGCTTTGTGTGTAAATTGTTTGGGAGCGCAGCATGACTTGTGCAGACTGTAAAGCACTTCCTATTAGAGTGCTGCGCTCCCGGCTGGCGTGCTTTGATGAGCACGGTCAGGCTTGCGTTCCCTGCGTTTCTGGTCCCGCGTCCGTTGAGGCGGCGCGGCGATTGAGATCGTGGGGTTCACAGCGGGATCTTGCAGACGAGAATGAGACTGCTGAGGCACTTTCTCATTCATCGTCTGATGATCCCGTAGCCCCTGTGAGTGGCGCAGAAGTCCGCGCCGCGGCTTCTTCTGACCACGATCAGGTCCCGATACTCAGGCTCTCTGCTTCCAAGGAAATAGACGTGCTCAGTATCGATACGGATGACCGTGAGTTAGGCGCGCCAGTTCACGGCCAAGCATATGAGGAACTGGTGAGGTTGTGACTCGTGCCGTGGCCAGACTGAACTTCAGCTGGCCACAAAATGAGGAGGGAACGCAAGTTTAAATAAATTGCGTTTCTTGCGGCACGGGTCACAGCCTCAGCGCCGGAGTTTGCCGTTTTTCCCCGATCTCCACTAAAAGATCATGAGATCGGGGGATGAACCGCATTCGTCCCGTGTTTCCAAACCCAGTGTCCTAAATTCTTGCGTTTGCCGAGGCAGCGTGTAGATTACGAGTCTACTCTGCAATAAAGATTCTGTGACTGCAGCGCATAGATTTAAGGTCTGCATTGCAATACGGAAACTTTGACTCGGATCTCTCGTTTGTCGAGGCAAATTTTCTCTCGTGAAAATTACGAGTCTCCTTTCCAATAAGGGAAACTGGCCTGTTCTCCGGCGCTGTAACTTCAATCGTCGACAGGTTTAGGAATAAATAAATAATATATATATATATATATATATATATAGTAAATAAATAAATATATATAAGATATATATATATATAAAATATATATGTTGTCCCGCCGTTTTGAACGTTTCGGGCTACATCGATTTCCAGCGAACGCACACTGTGTCGTTCACCCCGACTGTGGTCACAAAATTTTTCTCGACTTTTTCCTGCCGGTCATCCGCTTCAGGGACTCGAAAGACACCCGAGGTCGGTCTCAAGGGGCTGGTTCCCTTAGTAGATTTTGCAGAATGGCTACACCTTCCAATATATCTATATGGGGCCTGAATATTTTTAAACAGGAAACGATGTATGTTGCCCGCCGTCAGCGACGCTTCGGGCCACATCGGTTTCCAGCGAAAATATTATAACGAAGCATCGTTTATGGTCAAAACATCCATATCGACTACAGCCTGCCGGTATTCCGCTTCAGGAAGTCGAGAAAGATGCTCTCGAAAGACAAAAAAAAAAAAAAAAAAAAAAAAAAAAAAACCAGAGGCCACTCTCCAGAGGCTGGTACCCCTAGTATATTTTGTAGAGGCATGGTATCATCTTCCCAACATATCTGCATGGGTCCTACATATAATAGAATCAGGGTACAGACTGCAGTTTGCACACCGCCCCCCAAGTTCTCTGGGGTGGTACAGACTACAGTGGTCCCAGAGCAGGCTCAGGTGATGGAACAAGAAGTTCAAACTCTGCTGCTAAAGGAAGCCATAGAACGTGTTCTTCCTTCAGACAGGGGGTCCGCGTTTTACACCCGGTACTTTATAGTTCCAAAGAAGGATTGGGGGTTAAGGCCAATTCTAGATCTCGGGGTTTTGTACCGATCTCTGAATAGGGAGGTGCAGGTTCGAACGGTTAACTCCAGTAATCGTGAGTCAGATCAGAGGACTGATTTGTCACGATAGATCTAAAAGACGCCTATTTTCACTCCATCCTTCCATGTCACAGGAGATACCTGAGGTTCGCTTTCGAAGCTTACCAATATCGGGTTCTTCCGTTCGGCCTAGCACGCTCTCCCTGCACATTCACCAAATTTATGGATGTAGCCCTTGCTCCACTGAGACTTCAAGACATCCATATATTGATTTATCTCGACGACTGGCTCATTCTGGCTCAGTCTCGGGAAATGGCAGTTCGGCATCGAAATGTCGTCCTTGGCCACATTCTGAAATTGGGGTTGAGACTCAATGCAAAGAGGAGTGTGCTAGAACCATCCCAGTGTACGACATTTTTGGGAGTCATATGGAACTCGATTACGATGTAGGCACGCATGTCTCCCGCACGTATCGAGTCAATTTTGACGATGGTATCCAGGGTAAAGCTAGGCCAGGCCATCACTGTGAAGCAATTTCAAAGAATGCTGGCCTCATGGCAGTGACATCCAACATCATTCCTTTGGGGCCTGCTACACATGAGGCCCCTTCAGTGGTGGTTAAAGACCAAGGGGTTTTCTCCCGAGGGAATCCGCTTCGTATGATCAGAGTAACGCGCAGATGCCTTTGTTCTCTGAGAATATGGAAGAAACCTTGGGCCAGTGTTGGGAGTGTCATGTCGCCGGGAAACCGTTTCGACAGACGCCTCCCTCACTGGCTGGGGCGCGGTCATGGACGACCGTTTGCCAGGGGTCTATGGCAGGACCATCATCTTTCTTGGCATATAAACTGCCTAGAGATGATGGTTGTGTTCAGGGCTTTGAGGAGCTTCCTCCCAGACATCAAAGGTCACCACGTCCTAGTACGGTCAGTGGTAGCCTATCTGAACCGACAAGGGGGAATCAGATCGCGCCCTCTGTGCAGACTGACGCATCAGATTATCCTTTGGTCCCAAGGGAAAATACTCTCTATCAGAGCAATGTATATTCCGGGGGTTCAGAATCAGGGGGCAGACATCCTGTTGAGAAAACCATACTTAGCTCTTGGGCTCCATCCACCAGGAGATTATATGACCTCAAGTGGAATGTGTTTGTCACTTGGTGTAGAGAACTTGGGTTAAATCCAGTAAACTGCCCGGTGGCTTCAGTTCTGGGATTTCTCCAAGATCGTTTCTCTAAGGGTCTCTCCCCGTCCACGCTTAGGGTGTACGTGGCTGCCATTGCGGTTTTCCACGCACCGTTAAGTGATGGGCCTCTGGGGAGGCACCAATTGGTCATTCGGTTTATCCTTGGTACTTGGAGGATGAGGCCAGCAGCCAGGTCCAGGGTTCCTGCCTAGGACCTGGCAATAGTTCTGGAGGGGTTATCCAAAAGTAGAGTGCCCCCTTCGAACCTTTAGAGTCGGCTTCGCCTAAGGACTTAACACTGAAAATGGCTTTTCGCTTAGCAATTACCTCACTTAAGAGGGTGGGGGATTTCCAAGCCCTGGCAGTAATGCCAGCTTGCTTGGAGTTTGCCCCTGGCAGAGTGAAGGCCTTTTTACACCCGAGTCCGGGCTACGTGCCTAAAGTTCCATCGAATACGGCTCATTCTATAGTCCCTCAGGCATTCCATCCTCCACCTCATGTGTCGGCGGAAGTGGAGAGGTTTCACTTGCTCTGCCAGTCAGAGCTTGAGCTTGTACTTTGAGGGGTCCTCTTCTTGGAGAAGGTTGGAACAATTGGACTAGTATGTTCTGGGTCACCTAAGAGGGGGCTCCCGGCAACCAAACAAACTATTAGCAACTGGATCGTCCAGGCTATTACTGAGGCTTACAAGGTGCGCGGTTTGCCTTCACCTTTTACCTTGTGGGCACAGTCAACTAGAGGCATGGCTTCCTCTAGGGCCCTTCTTTCGGGAGTACCTCTTTAGGAGATCTGCGAGGCAGCCGGCTGGGCTACCCCACATACTTTCATAAAATTTTACAGTCTCCACCTTCCCAGTACACCCGGTGCACAGGTGCTCAGTCCTTGCTGAGTGCCTAGACAGTTTTACTCCAGGACAGGCCTATTCGGTGCGTGGCCTAGTGGGCACTCGTTCCCCAAAGTGTCGATTCTCGACGCAGTGTAGAGTTCCCTCGAAAGGGAACGTCTCGGGTTATGACTATAACCCTTGTTCCCTGAGAAGGGAACGAGACACTGCGTCGTTCTGCCACGCCCCCTTTAGGCCTTAGAGCGTCTTGCTTCATCGCGAGGCTAGTGTGTGTTGTGACAACGTCACTTTTATACTTCCGGGTATGCCGTCACATGTTACGTCACGACGCAACACCAATCAGGATTGGATTAGTTTCATTCATACTTCAGAGGCGCACGCTTAGGGAGCGTCCCCAAAGTGTCGATTCTCGACGCAGTGTCTCGTTCCCTTCTCAGGGAACAAGGGTTATAGTCATAACCCGAGACGTTTCCCATGAAATGTAGAGGCGCATGAAAAAGCATCCAGTTGCATTCTAGGGGGTGAGACAAGTCTTTGGCTTTCCACCAGTCAGATCAAAAGTTCGAAAGCACATGTTAGAGGCACACAATTTCTTTTAGCTTTAGGTAAGTGCCTTTAACCCACAGAATCCGATCAGAATTTAATTCGATTAATAAATAATTTGACTGGACCAAACTGTTATATATAGGTTATATATAGAGATTATGTGTTTGCACACATGATATCAGGAAGCAACGTAATATGCACATAACAACAGGGACGTGGCGGAGGTGCTTAAATCGAGTTACCCCTCCCACTTCTGCTAGTTCTACTAAGATTTCTTATCCCATGCAAATTGGCCATTAATATTACAAACTTTCTGTGGTAAAAATTACATTACTTCATCTACCCTTGTAAAACTAATCCTGTCCGAATAGGGCTTAAGACTGTTCTCCGCTCTTTAAATATACAAAAAACAATTGCCTTTATAGAGATAGTGTTTCGTTTCTTAATTAAAGAAAATTCTGTCCTTACTCATACACAAGTTCTTTATTTACCCTTGCATTGCAAACAAGCAGAGACGCTGAAATGGATCAGGACGCATGCCGCGTCCTGTTGCAAAAGCATGTGAAAAAACTACAAAGTTCGCTAGGACAAAAAGACTGTTAATCGCGCGCTAAAAAAATTAACGCCGTTATGCTACGTTCACACCGGACGCGAATCGCGCGTCAAGTTTGACGCTTGACCACTTTGTGTTAATTCGCGTGTCAAGAGCGAAACTGGCGCGCGTAAAAACAAAAGTTTGAAGCGAAATTTTTTTTTTTTTTTTTTTTTGCAGGTTAACTAAACAGTAACACATACCAGGTAAGATTCAGTGAGACACATCTACAATACAGAAGGAGGAAAGGGGAAACAAAAAAAAAAAAAAAAAAAAAAAAAAAACAGAACAGAAAAATACACAACAGCCCCACACAGTCGTCGACAAAGTGGTATATGTAGGCACACAAGATCCTTTCTGTGATGCAATTGGGTAGTATCTGAATAGTTGTAGAGGATATGATAGAGACTTTGACAAACACAAAGAAATATATATATATATACACATTATTATTAGTGGTGGTAGTATCAATGATAGTATTTATAATGATAATATTCATGACAATAATAGTAATATAGGCTATAGCAATCTACGACAGTAGTGACAGTAGTACTATGACAATAAGAATACATTTAATTTCATTGCACATCTGCTCTAAACTCTGGGTCAGAGGGCTGACCCAGAACTGCCAGTGAGCGCAGCCAACAGGCCCCCCAGACACAGATGTTTCCCCTCGATTCAATAACACGATTCCCCTCCACCACCATCAGTGACACCCAACCCCCATCGTTAAACTTCTGGCTTGGGCTACATTGAGTTTTTCCACCGGGGTACCACAACAGGCACCTCCAAACCAAGCTCCCCCAGTCTGTTTGTGACCTGACATAGCCAAGTGGTATTGGTGGTTGGCCCCCCTCTTTTTTTGAAGCGAAATTTACGCGCGTGACGCGCATCAGAATCGAAATCCGTTCATTCAGGCACAAACTGCATGGCTATGGTGAATGAGACCATTTGTCTTCATCCTCTATTCTGATTCTGTTGTTTCAGTAGTGAGTCTGAGCAGGTGGACGAGGTGACGACCAGCAGCAAACGACGCGTAACAGAAGAAGATATGAGTTTGGAGGACCACAAGAAGAGCAGGGTTCATGAGGGTCAAGGCCAGAGTGAGCAAGAGCCACAGAAGCCACAGGAACCCGAGGATCTCCATGGTGTTTTCAAAGCTGATGGTGTGGAATTTAAGTTGGATTTCAGCAAACTAAAGAAAGAGAGCTATGAGGATGAAGATGACGATCACTTCTTCATCGGTAAGATTCTCAGTGGTTCATTACATAATTGATAAAAAATTATGGGATATATCTCTTACAGTCACATAATCCACCAAAAATAATGGAATCTTATAATCATATAATCAACCATTCATTTCCTATTAACCAGTTTGCTACAACAATTACCAGGGTTCATTATCATGAACTAAAACCGGAAAAAAAAGTGATGCTAAAATTGCCCTGCAATTAACAGTATGGAGTTGATAATGTAAACACAAGGTCATAACATATTTTGATTATTTAAAGCCTGGTGCAAACTGTACGATTTATAATAGCCCTTAACAACTGTTGCTTGTCAGATGATTCCCCCTATGTCGCAACGATGGCTAACATGTCAAACTAGCAATCAGAGACTTCAGATTTTGGCCTAGGGTCTGAGGATTCTTTAAGGATTAATGTGTCTCAAATCATACAAATGTGCAAAATCATAAAGTGTAAACCTGCCTTAAAACTTCATTGTGAGATCTCTACCGAAAATACTAATATTCAAACAGTATGATGCTTAAGGCTGATTTATGCTAGCTAGCTATCTTTGGTCGACCAATGTGGCTTTTTCAATGGCTGATGCCATTCAAAATGTCACAAGGCATCCCAAAATGTCTGTCAATTTCCAATAATCACAAATAATGGCCACATTATCAGGTATCGCTGTTGACCATGAAAGTCTTGAAAAGTAGTTAAGCATCTCATGATGGGGAGCAGCTTTCAAAAACATAGCATATGTGATATACATAGCATTTCAACTGTTTAACCTCCATGCTTTTCCAGACATTTCTATTCATTGTTCTCCATCTTCTACTGTCCTGCAGATTGCACCCCACCTCCACCAGCACCCTTCAAACACCGTGTTGTGTCTGCCAAACCCAACCAGATTAACAATTTCTACACTATCAACCGACAGGAGGTTCTCGGAGGGTCTGTAGAAGTATTTTCTTGAAGTTGGAACCAATTTCTCAGAACAGAATGTTTTATAGACAGTGTAAATGCAGACAGTGTAGTCTGCTAAACCCCTCAAAGGCTAATTGCGTAACATTGCAGTCAGTCTTCACTCACCCGATTCATAACTTCAGAGTCAAGCCAGTTATTTTTGCATAGCGAATTCAGGGTATGTGAAATTGTACCTCCACGCCAGCTGGAAACTAATCACTAGGTGTTAATCCATCTCTTCAAAGGGAATGTTCTTCTTGTTGTTAATGGAATAGTATCTGAAAAATATGACACCCTCTGCATTACAAAAGTGTCCCTGAAGTCTTTACTGGTCTGCACCTCTAAGTCTTTTAAAATGTCGTTTTGAATATACAGTGGCTCAAAAAAGTATTTGGACACTTAACCCACACTTACACATGTGGGAATGTCATTGCAGATGTCTATATCTGCGCTCACATCCAGCAAGATCTCTTTGTCAGAACTAATGTCAATTTCACTGTTTCTTTATAGTGGGGGGGGGATAAATGTGATTATCAAAATTTGGAATTTTTCTTGTCTTAATTGTCATTGATTACTGCTTGTATCTCTTTTCAGAGGTCGATTTGGTCAGGTGCATAGATGCATGGAAAATTCCTCTGGACTTACTTTGGCTGCCAAGATAATCAAAGCTAAGAGTCAAAAAGAAAAGGTACAAAAGAACCAATCAGCATTTTTATTCAAATGTAAAGGTTTCCACATAGAGCTCAGTTGTAAAATAATAGTTTCATGTGCTTTATCTGATAGGACGTGGTGAAGAATGAGATTCAGGTTATGAACCAGCTCGACCATGCCAACCTGATCCAGCTTTACGCAGCCTATGAGTCCAGGAACGACATTATCCTTGTGCTTGAATAGTATGTACTATTTATTGGTGCTTTCTTAATGGCTGGTTCTTATTACATGCAATTGAAACAAAATGCAGCCAGGTAGGTAGAAAGCCTTGGCCGTGATCAGCGTCTGAAATGGAAATCTAAACATGACAATGAACTTGCCATGACAGCCCACATGACAGCCTTTTGGTTGATTTTCATTTTGGTTGGTTGTTTTTAAATTGTAGCACTTTAGGATTTTGCCTAAATATAAAGTGTGTTAACTCACTATAGAGAGTCGAGTTATAGAGGTCTCCATTTCTCAGACCTACACCAGCATAGCGATATCTCTGTGAGCCTCCTTGTTAGCTGTCAAGAGTGTAGGACATAGTTAGTCCTCCTCTCACTTCAGAGATTCGTTATGCTGTGGCCTCTGTCCTCCCTGGCTACTGCTTTTAGATGGAGACTTGTCAGGCTTCCTCTCACTATAGAGAGTCGAGTTATAGAGGCCTCCGCTCCTTAGAACTCCTCCTGGATAGCGATATCAAGTAGAAAGGCTCTCTGTAAGCTTCCTTGGTAGCTGTCCTGCTTGCGTGGGACGTAGTTAGGCCTCCTCGAGTCATTATGCTGAGGCCTCCATCCTCAGAGCTTGATCAGGTAGCAACACTGGGTCGTGAGACTCCCTCTGAGGCTCCTTGGCTACTGCCTCTTTTATGGAGTGTCGCCAGGCTTCCTTTCGCTTAGAGAGTTGTTTTATAGACACCTCTGCTCCTCAGAGATTCACCCGGTTAGTGATGTCAAGTAGTTAGGCTCTGTGTGAGCCTCATTGGTGGCTGTCCTAGGGGTACCACTCACAATGCTATCCTTGCGGAGCTCTGAAGAGCTGATGCCCCAGAAAACAACTCTAGCGAGAGAAGGCCTAACGACTCTCCGAAGTGAGTGAAGGCCTAACTACATTCTACACTCTAAAAAATGCTGGGTTATTTTAACCCAATTTTGGGTCTAATATGGACAAACCCAGCTGTTGGGTTAATTTATAAATTGCATTTTTTAATCCAACAATTGGGTTTGTCCATATTTGACCCAAAATTGGGTTAAAACAACCCAGCATTGTGTAGAATGTAGTTAGGCCTCCACTCACTTTGGAGAGTCGTTATGCCAAGGCCTCTTCAGAGCTTTGCCTAGATAGTGATATCAAGTAGTTTCTATGAACCTCCTTGGTAGCTGTCCTGGTTGGAGGACCTAGTTAGGTCTCCTCTCACTTCAGAGAGTCATTATTCTGACTCTGAGATTCTGTCCTCAGAGCTTGATCAGGCAGTTGTTAGGCTCCCTCTGAGTCTCCTTGGCTACTGCCTCTTTTAAGGAGAGTCGCCAGGCCTCCTCTCATTTAGAGAGTTGCTTTTGTAAAGGCCTCTGCTCCTCAGACCTCTGCCCCGGATAGTTATGTCAAGTTGTAAGGCTTTCTGTGAGCCTCCTTGGTTACCGCGAGCATTTTTAGGCCAGACGTTGTTTTCTGGGGCATCAGCTCTTCAGAGCTCTGCAAGGATAGCATTGTGAGTGGTAGGCCTCTGTGAGCCTCCTTGCAAGATTTCTGAGAATTGGGTGTTGTGGGCCTCCTCTTCCACTCTTCAGGGCTGCTTCAGTCCCCCAAGGGGACGCAGCGCGTGTTACCTGTCGAAAGGGAACATCCAGGTTTACACATGTAACCCCATAGATCCTTGAGAATAGGGAACAAGACGCCATGCCTTGTCCCTTTGCCATCCTTCCACCATTCCTGCATGTCTCTTATAGACAAGAAGTGGAGGACGTATTGCAGATGTGCCCTTTTATTCTCTCGGCCTCACCTGTAGTGACGTGATGGGCTGCCGCCTGGCAATGTCAAGTTCATTGTCGTGTTTAGATTTCCACTGCAGACACCAGTGACGCACAAGGCATTTCCCATTGCAGAATTCCCCAAGGCAGACCCCAAGGGGACGGTAACAGTATAACAGTATACAGTATATACCGAACAATGAACACGAACATGTGGGGAAAAACAGAAAAGGGGAAAAAAAGGATAAATTACAATTTATATACAACTTGTTCTATAATACAGGATGTTTTCAAATTTGTTTTATTGGAGGGAATTTTTTAAGTAATGACAAATAATAACAATAAGAAGTAATGACAATAATAACTAAAAGTAATGACAATAATAACTGTAAATCATAAGCAGCCTAATATACCCATTGAGATAATATTAAACATATCTATATGGACGTTTTTCCCCATGGTATCGATGGCCAGTGAAAATGCTGAGTAGTAACTTTGGAAAACCACTAGCCACAGTGGCTGTTGTTTAAGAAGTAAGGATTGGAAAGCTAATTTTGTGGTGATCCTTCTCCTGAACAGTGTTGATGGAGGAGAACTCTTCGACAGAATCATTGATGAGAACTACAAGTTGATGGAGCTTGACACAGTGATGTTCATCAGACAGATCTGTGAAGGCTTGCGCTACATGCACAAAATGTACATCCTCCATCTGGACCTAAAGGTGCAACCACAGATCCAAAGCAATGCAACAATAAAAACACTTCAATCTTAAAATATGGCCCTCCCAAGAGGGAACAGGCCTACATTCCTCTTAGTTTTATAGCAAATATCCTCAGTAACCTTTATAACCCATGTTGTTTCTTGTGGCCGGCAGCCAGAAAACATTCTTTGTGTCAGCAGAGTAACTAATAAAGTCAAGATCATCGACTTTGGACTTGCGAGGAAGTAAGTATGGTCATGGCACTCTTCTCTTTAATACAAAAATATGTGCAACATCATGGATAGAATGTAGAGTGCGTTTAAATTTGGAAACATTAATTCTCTTTAGGTATCAGCCCAGGGAAAAGTTACGAGTGAATTTCGGCACGCCAGAGTTTCTCTCGCCTGAGGTGGTCAACTATGATTACGTGTCATTCAACACAGACATGTGGAGTCTGGGCGTTATTACATACATGCTGTAAGTTGCATATTTTGGCAGGTATACTCTGAAAATGGCCTAGCTCAATTAAAATTATCACTTCGTAAACGATTCACTTAATTTTTTAAGTACATTTTACCATAAAATACTACAAAACTTGTGGGTTAATTCAATGTGTTATTTTCCATGTATTTTTTGTGTATAAGTGTAAATTTCTTCAAAGAAAATCCTACACTTTTTTTGTTCTCAGTGTATAAATTGTGTTTTATAGGCTCAGTGGTTTGTCACCTTTCCTTGGGGACAATGAGAATGAGACACTAAATAACATTTTGGCCTGCCAGTGGAACTTCGAGGAGGAAGAATTCTTAGAAGTCTCGCCAGAAGCCAAGGATTTCATTTCCAAACTCCTTGTGGTAGATAAAAGGTATGCAAGAGAGTCATACGTGTATTAAAGGGCCCATATGTAACAATTTGCATGTATTAATCGCTGTATTGCCAATGTGTGAACAGCTTGCAATAAAGCTTAAAAAACTAGACCTTTCCTCTGACTTTCTGGGTTGTCTATGAAACTCTGTAGACTGAATTATGTGAAGGACTCTGTTTCACGGGCAAAATCCAAAGGATGTGACATTTACGCGTTCAATGACATATGAAATGAATGCTTATACAATGTTCCGGATAATGTCAAACGAAGTATTCTGTACTGTAATGTCAATGTGCCATGCAAAGAAACGGGATTAATTAATTCTAACTATTGTCTCACACAGCAAGATCTATATAGTCTAAGTCTCAGATACCTAATAATCTCTAAAGTAACTATCATTACAGTGTAATTTGAATGACCTCATCTCTCGACATGATGCCAGTGAATTGCAGATAGGGTTGCCACCCGTCCCTTAAAATACGGAATCGTCCCGTATTTGTGAAGTAAACAGCGCGTCCCGTTTTGAATCAATACGGGACGCGGTTTGTCCCGTATTTCCGACCGTATGCCACCCGCATTCTGTGAAGACTCCTCCTATTCTACCCTTGATTGGGTAATACTCGCTGCCATTGTTGGTTTGATTGGTTTGTTTAATATACCATCAGGTTCAGGGCCAATCAGAGTCAGAAGAGGGCGGGTCTTGCCTATGCGTCCACATCTGAAACGAAAGTGTGTGCAAAAGTAACGACGAGAGTGGGAGGAAACAAATACTTGGCTGGAAAGTGTCAGTGGCAATGAGTAGCCTAAATAGTTATAATAAGAAATAACAGAGAGATATATTTAATACATATTTAATAATAAAAATGTACATGTTGTGGAGAAAATAACTTATGCTTAACAAACCTAGAGAATTTTATCCTTTAATAGGCTACTATGTCTGAATAAATGCATAGATTTTCTTACCAATAATACGAATAGTCATATCAACGGACATAATTTTACATAGACCCACACATAGTTGAATAAATAAATGAGGATTTTACAGTAGCCTATAGATAATACTAATAGTAATTATAATAAAATCAATTTCACAAGAAGTAGAGTATAGTCAATTTGCGCAAGAATGCATTTTAGTGTCTTTTTTCCATAGTGACGAGATTAACAGATTAATAAATACATTATAATTGGTATTATTAAATATTAATCATATATGCATACTAAATTATGGTCATATCTGTAATACACACTTTATGGCAATTAAAAGAAAGTTTTAAAAGTGCAAATTTTTTAAAATAAAAATTAGACAAACAATTACATAATAAATTCAAAATCAATTTGAGTAAATAAAAACAATAAAAATATCCCATCCATGCAGAATTGTCAAAAACATGATTACTGGTGTATATATATATATAGTAAAATAATAAAATGTAAAATAATAATATAAAATGTTTTTTGTTGCAAGCTCACATACTTGATGTCATGTTTTCTCGTGGTTTATTGTTGAGCTGTCAAGTCGTCATGTTGAAATAACCAGTTCCATACCCTTGACACATTTTTTTATTTTTATTTCATTTAATTATTTATTTATCTCGTGTATGGGTGTCCCTTATTTTGCCTTACTGAAGGTGGCAACCCTAATTGCAGAGCTGGTGCAAACATATACACATCTCTATGATCAGATGCTTTCTTAACTGCTGTTTTCTCACTGCTGCCGTTTTTGTTGTGATTACTTTTTTATTGAGAGGAAGAGCGCAACACATATTTACATATTCATCTAACATCTAACCATCTAACTCTCAGCAGTGTGGACGGCATCTTGATATTCATTAACAATAGGCTATATCTCTGATATTTTCAACTTATTTTTACTTCTAAGCAAATAACAAAAAATAATTTCACCATGAGTTTATCAGGGCCTTGAATCATGTTCAGTCTCTTGTACGTTACGTATACGCATGGCGAATTCGCATGACCAACTTGAAAACGAGCAAAAAAAAAAAACATTTTTTAGGCCTTCATGCAAACCCCCTGAAATTCCGCTACATGTGACCTCATCTTAACTATGCATGATTATATATCCGTTATTATATGCGTCGTTATTCCCTCCGATCATCTCAGAACAAACCTGTGACCCATTTTGGATTGCATTTGGCTAGTTTACAGCAAGTGTCGGCAAGTATAAGATAATGGCATTAGTTCATGGATTAGAACCTGAACCCTTGCCTTTATGTCCATGGATGTTCCTTCTGTGTGTTTGTGTAGTTGGAGGATAGGAGCAACAGAAGCGTTGAAGCACCCATGGCTGTCGGATGCAACCGTCCATCATCGCCTGCATGAGAAGGTATAGTCTGCATTTCATTCTCACATTGTTCTGTTGAATTAAGGGATTTCTTTGAGCTTCTAAGATTGACTTGGTTTTCTTAACAGAAAAATATGTGCCGTTCGCGCAGAAACTCCTGTTTGCCTTCACCAGAGAGTTAATGTAAGTCCATTGTCAATATATTGTAGTCTAGAGAATCGTTAAATGTATGCTATTTTTGTGTCTGGAAGTGACAAAATGATATTTAACCACCTTTTTTCGGTTTCCTCTTTTAGAGGGACCAAGCCTGCTGTGGAACCATGAGGATTACTGGACATTATATTATATAGAGATGTATTTCATAAACTGATGTGTCCACTATATGTCCCACAATAACATGTTGTTAGCTAATGGAAATTCTTAAACTACAACTATCTGTCAGTCACATGAAATTGATCCTATCCCAGAATTTGAAATGAAGAGATGGTGGAATAAGATTTGTCAGATTCCAGGTTCATATGCTAAGATTTGAATATGCCCGTTCACTTGTTTTGAAGCACTGGGAAGTTCAGTTCAAAGTCCTATATATATAAACTGTATATGAAGTATATATATGTATATGAGTATATGAAACCTAAAAGATTATTAGGAACACCATACTAATACTATGTTTGAGCTCCTTTTGCCTTCAGAACTTCCCTTTATTCTACATGGCATTGATTCAACAAGGTGCTGAATATTATAGTTGAGATTTGAGATTTGTGGGATGTACATCCAGAGCACGAAGCTCCTGTTCCACCACATCCCAAAGATGCTCTATTGGGTTGAGATCTGGTGACTGTGGGGGACATTTTAATACAGTCAACTCATTGTAGTGTTCAAGAAACCAATTTGAAATGATTCAAGCTTTGTGACATGGTGCGTTATCCTGCTGGAAGTAAACATCCCCCACACCATTACACCACCACCACCAGCCTGCACAGTGGTAACAAGGGATGATGGATCCATGTTCTCATTCTGTTTACGCCAAATTCTGACTCTACCATCTGAATGTCTCAACAAAAATCGAGACTCATCAGACCAGGCAACATTTTTCCAGTCTTCAACTGTCCAATTTTGGTGAGCTCTTGCAAATTGTAGCCTCTTTTTCCTATTTGTAGTGGAGATGAGTGGTACCCGGTGGGGTCTTCTGCTGTTGTAGCCCATCCACCTCAAGGTTGTGCGTGTTGTGGCTTTACAAATGCTTTGCTGCATACCCCGGTTGTAACGAGTGGTTATTTTAGTCAAAGTTGCTCTTCTATCAGCTTAAATCAGTCGGCCCATTCTCCTCTGACCTCTAGCATCAACAAGGCATTTTCGCCCACAGGACTGCTGCATACTGGATGTTTTTCCCTTTGTACACCATTCTTTGTAAACCCTGGAAATGGTTGTGCGTGAAAATCCCAGTAACTGAGCAGATTGTAAAATACTCAGACTGGACCGTCTTTCACCAGCAACCATGTCATGCTCAAAATTGCTTAAATCAATTTTCTTTCCCATTCTGACATTCAGTTTGGAGTTCAGGAGATTGTCTTGACCAGGACCACACCCCTAAATGCATTGAAGCAACTGCCATGTGATTGGTTGATTAGATAATTGCATTAATGAGAAATTGAACAGGTGTTCCTAATAATCCTTTAGGTGAGTGTATAATGACAACAGAGCTTTTGACTATTATAAATGTAAGTTCAACAGCACACAGCTTTTAGTTATGGTTTTCATATCGTGTGAATTTCAGCAGTGTACGTAAACATTCTATGACCAGCACACTTTACCTCCTCTTTCCAAAAAACAAAAACAAACAAACACAATAATGCTTTAACAAGCTCCATCTCTGGAACATCATGGTTTTTAAGCTTTCACAGTGGTATGCTGATTTTTGAATATGCCCAATATAATAATTGAAATATACCTGAATTCTAAGGGAATATGAGAGATTATTGACTCAGCATTGTTATCACAAATGTTGTTTTAGGTTTTACATGTTCTATGGGAATGCAAAGGGATGCAAGCTGTGATTTTGACAGAAAACAGAAACATTATTATGTTAGAGCGAAAATATATTCATATAGTTTTTTCACTTTGTTTTGAATGTTGAGTATGTATCATTGCATTATAAGCACTTTAGAACATTATTTATTTTGAAAATAATATGAAAACGATCTTAATAGATTTTAAAAGCAAGTCTAGTTTTAGGGAATTTGTTTTATAACAATGTCTTTTTCATGTATACATGAATGAAGAATATCGTAGAATAAAAAAAAATATAATAAGAGAAAAGTCTTACCTTTCTTTGCCTTTATTCAGCTGGTCTTGTAAATGAGATATGAGACAAATATACAATTCAGTTAAGACTACTGTAAGTCTCTTTTCTAATTAGGCAATTAACTTATTTTGGGATTTAAATCTGGATTAAAATTGTATTTTGATTGCTGTTTAAATGATTCAAAATGTTTTTCCTTATTTTGTTTAGGCAATATTATTGATTTTGACTTTTAAAGCCAATGCTTATATTTTATCTTTTTATATGTATATATGTGTAATATGTCTATATATTTGTTAATAGGCCCAATATATACACATATTGAATGACACTTTCATTTACACCTTTGACACGAGATAAAGAATTTCCCTATGAACTAAGGAAAGAACGTTATACAGCATTCTAACTAAAAAGCAAGACCTACCAAAGATCTGCACGTTCTCTTCCATTGAAGACATCTGGTTGGTCTCATGTGAGTTGCTTCCATGTCTGTATTGGATCGTAACATAAGCTTTCAGAGGTACTGAATCCGAAGCAGAGTTGCTCCTCAACCCATTTTTACAGCACTCCTTTGTGTCCAGCAGAGGGCAGGACAGAAGACACTTTCCCACCACAGTTATATGGTTTGTTTTGTCATTCATTACGGAGCTGTGTTGTTAGACTTCTAAAACTAGCTTATGGCATCAGAAGAATTCTACCTTTAAAGTTATAGTTCAAAACAATTATACAAATCATCAATAGCTCTTGAAACATCAATTCTCAGTCCTGAAGGATTAAGGTTCGGCCTGTTAGCATGAACAGTTAGCCCAGCTAGTAGAGTCTGCATCTTAGTCTGTTCCTCTGTTGATCGTCATACAGAAGTGGCCATGGATTCAGATTAGCAGCAAAATATATAGGCTATAATATGGGCCAAACTCAGACTGAGGTCCATTGGAGCCCAACATGGAAATAACTACAGCAATTCTGCAGTATTTTTTTTTAACTTTTTTTACATGGTGTGCTGTAGGTCCTGCATGATAGGTAATTCACTGGTATTTATGAGAAATCTTCATGTAATTGCATCTTTATTTGTTGAATCCTATTGGGTTCTATTAGGCTTTTTCAACTTTAGTTGGTGTTTAATATTGCTGTTTGACCATGAAAAATATCTGCAAGATTATAAAGCTCAAAGTCCACTCCAAAACAGAACCCAATTTTCAGGAACTACTGTTGAAAGTAGTACTGTTGAAAGAACTACTGTCTGTTGAAACAGTGTTTCTGAACGTCAACTTCTGCACCGTGTGTTGACAAGCTACTGAATGGCTACTAATAACCAATAGAGTCACAACGAATGGACTATCAAAAAGTAAAACCTTTTAAGTTGCACAACAAAAGGGTGCATTGAGTAATTTTGGCTATGTTCAGACTCTCAGTCCAAATCCGATTTTGTGCATATCCGATTGAAATCCAATCAGATTTAAGTAGTGTGAAAGTAGGCCAGAAATCACATGAAATGCAATTTTTACAAATCCGTTTCAAGCTACAATCATTTGTGGTTTGAAAGCATTTCTGGAAATTTGTTTCAGTCTGACCGTTGCGGTTGCGGACACATGCGCTTTATGTGATTTTCTCACGCCACAAAAAAACGTCATACGTTGTAATAGGAAACATGCTGGAAGTCGCTGCCAAAACAAGGCTGTGTTTTTCAAAGTGCCAGACGAGCAGAAAATTACAACATAACGGAGACATATTTTGATACCCTGCACATTGATAGACATGTTGTAAAATTTAAACAAGGCAATATCTGTATCGTACACCCCTCCATGTTGTGGTTTTTGATAACGTCATTGCCATAGAAACCTATACAGATATTCCAACGCATTCTCACCCCAAGGCGTCACCTTTGACCATGCTTCAATATTTGACGTTTTAGGTGCCCTTTAGCGTCACTTACATGACGCGATCCTACGGCGTCATCTAACTGACGCTAAAGGAAAGCGTCAGTTAGAGGACGCGGTTAGGTTTAGGTGTGGGGTGGGGGTAGGGTACACGCGATCCTAGGGCGTCATCTAACTGACGCTAAAGGGCGCCTAAAGTGTCAGATATTGAAGCATGTCCAAATGCTTCCCAAGGCGTCAGTTAAGTGACGCCTTGGGGGTGAGAATGGGCTGGATATTCTGGAAAACGAAAGAGCTGCATGGACACACAAATCGGATCAATCAGAGTGCATGGACATCAATAATTTTACATCAGATTCCAGACACAAATAATTGAATTTGGACTGACAGTGATAACGTACTGGCCTTTGGTGTAGTAGTGTTGGTGAGCAACCTACAGTATGTGAATATTATTATTAATTTTTTGAATGGTCATTTTTATGAATGAAAACTCAATGGAGAACTCAATAGAGAATACAATGACAGGGTCATAAACACAGTGGATACTATTTTGTTTAAACTACCCCATGTTTAGCATATTATACAAAATGTTAAGGATTTAACTATTCGTGATTTGGTGTTTCATGTATTCAGAGTTGTTTAGAGTGTTAAAGAGATGGATTCTCATGCTAAACATGGCCAAAGTTTAAAACAAATATTTTGGATGAATGGAGAATTTCTGTGCCGAAAATCTTACTTCCAGGTTGGGGCTGTTTTTTTGTTGTTGTTTTTTTTCGATCGTGGATCTAATGACATGTATAGACGAGAGTGGAACTCCTTAAAAATGATAAGAGCAGCAGAATTTGATCTGTTTGTCAGCTTCTGACACGGTCATGTGTTGATATTTATATTTCCAGCAGGAGCCGCCAAATATACATTATTGAAGATTACTAGTAACAGATTGACTAATTGTCCACTGAACAAGCTCTGGGGCCCGTTTCAATCAGGAGGTTCAACCTACTCTGAGTTTAAAAAAAAAAAAAAAAAAACTTGAACTCTGAGTTGACTTACCCTGAGATGGGAAACTCTGAGTTTTCGGTTACAGAACAGCTGAAATGAGTTTGTTCAATCAACTCTGAGTTGACTGACTCGGGGTTAAGCGCGTGCACCACAGCTATAAAAAAGCCATTATCAATGGAGCGCAGATATTACGAGTCACCATGGCAACAGCGTCAGACAAAAAGAGGTCTGCACATTTCTCACCAGCAGAACTGGATGTGCTTATGCAAGCAATATGTAGAATTTGAACACGTGTTTAAAAAAAAAAGCAACGCGGCTGCAGCGGCAAAGGACAGAGAGTTAGCTTGGGAGAAAATAGCTGCAGGGTTCTCAAGTCTCACGCATTGGCCGTGAGACACACGCATTTCGACCGGTTCACACGCTCACACGCCACACTGTGTATTTCTCACGCTGAAAAGGCAATGCCAACCAAGTTGTCC